ATATACTAGCTGGTTATCCGGGCTTCGCCCCGGAGGACATATGTAATAAGACACGCAAATAGTCGAGAGATACATATATGTATATATACACATATTCCTGTGTGTGTGTGTGTGTGTTGTGTGCCTGGAGGCAGTTTCTGGACTTTTCTGTTAGTATGTATGTATGTATGTATGTATATACATACATAAGCGTTAACTTGCATGCACATTATATTTAATATACACATTATTTGATACACCAGAACATCCTAAAATTTTCTCAAGTTTTAAATCATTAATGTTTATACACAAAACATAGCACTAATTATCCAAGAATATAAATATTTTAAACGTAGCCCTAATTGTAAGATTGAAAATGTTCAATAGCTCTATAATCATATTTTTGTAAATATATTATTCATCTTTTCCATGTTTGGTGTTTTTTCTTTATATTTAATAAAAAAAAAACAATTTTCTTGCTTACTTCATGAATCATTGCAATAAATATTATTACCGATATGTTGAAATTTTAACATCTTAAATCAACGTATAGATACTTACTCTTTATATATATTTTTGTTGTACCAGGCAGGGAGATCATTAGATGTTACATCGCGCAGATTTGGATCAATCACGCTGTTATCCTCTAGGATAACTTTTAAATGTTCCTCTACCGTCTGGGTTTGAACTGCAATGCGTTAACATATTTATACACGGAATAATGAAAATTATCAAATAATTTGAAAAATCATATAATTTGCAATTCTATCTTTTTACATGGATGCATCAATAATTTTGTAAAAAATTTTGACATTTTAGAAATCAGTTTGAACGTTTTACATAATTATTTTGATGGTGCAACAAAATATAATCAAATTATTTTCAGATCTGTATCTAGCTAAATTTTTAGAATCTTCAGCAAAACCGTTCTTTCGGCGTTCTTGCAATGCGAGGATAACGAGTTACGGTAACGATAAGTTACTTTTTTAAATGAGTAACGAATAACGGTAACGAGTTACGCTAACGATGAGTTACTTCTTTCAATGAGTAACGAGTAACGGTAACGAGTTACTTCTTTTAAAAATAACAAGTTATATATGGTAACGATAAGTTACTTTTTCAATGAGTAACGAAATACGGTAACAAGTTACTTTTCAAACGTAACTTTCCCTGATATTATATTATTAATTAATATACTTTGATATTATATTATTAAATAATTATTTATTTATTTGAAATATATTATTATAAAATATTCTTAAAATATGTATTTTGACAACTTTGCCGAGTATAAGAGCTTCCGCACAAGACTCTCATATAGTAATGTAGCGTAACGTAACGTAGGTCAACGCACAAAAAAAATGTATAACGTCGTAACCGATACGTTTCTCGTGCGCTGACTTACGTTACGTTACGCTGCATTCACTTTTCGATGACATTATCTTGATACTTTTATACGTAAATAATGAAAGAAATCGATTGTTGTAAAAATAGAACAAAAAATAATTTTAAAAAATTTGATTATATTTTGTAAACGCATTCAATTTTGCAAAATTGCAAATGTAAAAATTAATTTCATTATTATATACGCTTTCTTTCATTATTTTATATACAAAAGTGTCAAGGTAAAGTAGTCGAAAGGTGAATACTTTAGAGACTAACGATGTATTTCATATTTCATATTATAAAAATATTATAAAAAAATTTAAAATATCTCAAGAAATCTTTAACGAAAGAGAGATTTATTAGTGTTTCGAAAACGTCTCGACGAGATCTACAACTGTTCTCTCAAGGGCAAAATCGAGTTATTTAACAAATTAGTCGCCTTTAAAATTTCTTAAAAACAACATCTATGACATAACTCACATAAGAATCATGTGTCCTCTTTTCAAACCAAACAACTTTTGTCTAAAGCAATTTTTTTCTACAATCAAAAATGAAAAAGTTTTGGATGTAATTTGAATAGTCAAATATCGATATCTCATGTAGTTTTAGGAAAAAACGTTTTAAACGTAAGTTGTATGACTTGGAGGACAAATAATAGTAAAATCATATTTTTTAAAATTAATTTTTTTAGGTCACAAAATCATCGTCATATAAAATTCTATTTTTTTAAATAGAATTGTATGATTTTTTTTACACCATAATAAAGTTCTCTTTTGTTAAAAATTTTTTGATATTTCAAATTATATCATGATATTTTTAATATAAAATATGAAATATCTCGTGAAGTATTCACTTTTCGATGACTTTACCTTCATATTTTTATACACAGAATGGTGAAAGAAATCGAATAATAATATTAATTTTTATATTTGCAATTTGCAAATTAAATGCGTCTACAAAATGCAATCAAAGTTTTTAAAATGATTTTTTCTTCAACTCGCTTCGCTCGTGCCGCAAATGTCGGGGGCAGGCATCAAAAACATGCTTATTAACATTTAAAGTTAAAAAAAGTAAAATTAATAATGTACTTTCGACCGGCTATGAAGAAAAATCGTATACACTACGCGGGCCAAAAGTTGAAATCTCGGTCCTGCTCGTCATGATGCCCTCGGCTTCGCCTCGGGGCATCATGACGCGCAGGGCCAAAAATTCAACTTTCGGCCCTTGTAGTGTAATATACTATTTGGTAATT